TTTTATAATTTTTAAATTTAGTTCGTTAAAAATGCGCGTTTAATAAATATGTTAAAGATTATCGAATAATGTAATTATCTGATTTGTACATAAAATGTGAAAAAATAATTGGTTTAGAAAATGACTCCAAATGACACATGACTAGTCATTTGAGTCATTTGAGGTCATTTGGGTCACTGACCATCACTGCCTGTAACAGCTTTTAATATACCAGAAAATATATTAAGAAATTGAAAATGCTACTGATGTATTTATTATAATAGAAGAAGTAGAAATATTAGAAAATAAGGTTATTGGAAATAATAATAATCAAACAAAAAATAACAAATTTAATTTAGATAAACCATTAAAAACTAAAAATTTTTTAGATAAAGTAAGAAAAGATCTTATAATGCTATATGTTTTTATTGGAAAGTTTTATCTAAAGATTACTTAATATTAATAATACTTGATCCCAAAATTAAATCTATAAATAATAAAACAGAAGAAGAAGAAATTTTACATAAAAAATATAAAGAATATAAGGAAAATTATTTACTAATTTCTAATAAATCTCGATCTTTATCTCCAACTCCATCTGAATCATCAATAATCTTAAATCCAATTTATAAACCTAAGCTTTTTTCAATATTTAAATAAAATCAACTAAAAGCATCTGATGAAGTTAAAGAATATTTAAAAGAAAATAAGATTCCTTTTAATTAATTTTTATTTAATTAGTGGTTAAATAATAAAATTAAGTATCCAATTCTTGTTAAAATAGCAAGAATTCATTTAGTTATTTCTGTAATATCAACACTATTAGAAAGGTTATTTTCTGATGCAAGAAATTTATTTTCAGCAAAAAGATCTAGAATGAATTCAGAACTTTTTTGACATATAATGTTTTTAAAAAGAAATGCAATTAAAGTTAAAAGTATTTATGAATAATTATTTATATTTTAATCAATTATTTATATAATTTATTATATATAAATAAATTGTTATTTTATTAAAATATTATAAAACTTATTGTAAACCTAAACTCATAATTTTAAAGATTTCTATTTTTTAAAAAAGAAGCAAAAGTTCTAAATAGAAAATAAATAAAAATTTTCCTTCTCAAAATTCTAAAATCCAGATTCAGAAAAGTATCCCAAAGAAAAAAAGAAAAGAAATGTAAATGATTTTTAAAGAAAAATAAATGAAAAATAAAAAAAACACACTTCTAACTTATCTTTCATAGTTCAAATTAAAATCCAGGTCCAGAAAGGCGTTCCCTAAAGAAAATAAGCAAAAGAACTGGTAATGATGTTCTAAAAATAAAAAATAAAACAAAAAACCCACCACAACTTATTTTTATAACCTAAACTGAAATTCAGGTTCAGGTAACATTCTCTAAAGAAAAGAAGCAAAAGAAACGTTAATAGCATTTCAAAGATAAAGAAAAATAAAAATCCTACAAGAAAAGTAGCAAAAGGAATGTTAATGGCATTCTAAAAATAAAAAAACAAAAACAATTTTTCACACTACCTTACATTTATAGCCCAAGTTAAAATTCAGGTTTAAAAAGACGTTCCTTAAAGAAAAGAAGTAAAAGGAACGTTAATGGCATTCTAAAAATAAAGAAGAAATAAAAACAATATCCTCACACCACTTACATTCATATCCTAAGCTGAAATCCAGGTCCAGGAAGACACCTCCTAAAGAAAAGAAGCAAAAGGAATGTTAATAGCATTTTAAAGATAAAGAAGAAATAAAAATAATACTCCTACACTACTTACCTTTATAGTCCAAGTTGAAATCTAGGTTCCTTAAAGAAAAGAAGCAAAAGGAACATTAATAACGTTCCCAAATAATAAAGAAAAAACAAAAGCACCAACTTACCTTCATAGCCTAGCTGAAATTCAGGTCTAGAAAGGCATTTCCTAAAAAAAAGAAGCAAAAAGAACATTAATGGCATTTTAAAGACAAAGAAAAATAAAGAAAAATAAAAAAACTATTACTAACTTACTTTCATAATCCAAGCTAAAATCCAGGTCTAAGAAGGCATTCCTTAAAGAAAAGAAAGAAAGAAATGTTAGTAACATTTCAAAAAAAACCTGAATTTATCCCCTATTCTAACATATATTTTAATCTTAAATTTCGAAGTCTAAGTCTATATCCATGTCTGATCCTAAAGAAAAAAAGGGATTTTTTTTTAAAGAAAAATAAAATAAATAAAATAATCAGATTATCTGATCAATCTAGTTATTTGCATAATGTCCAATCAATCTGATGTTATCTGAAGATTACATCTAGATTATTCGCGATCTGTTCATTCATAATTCAAATAATCTATTTGATTAGATCTAATGACGGATTGAACAGATTTCACCAGAGCATACCTCTAAAGTTGCTTATCTAAATTCATTTTGAATTTAGCAAAATGTCTAAACTATAATTCGCTAATTATTTACTAAAGTTTTAATATAGTTTCACATTTTTATAAGCTTTGATATAATTTTACCTTTTTTAGAATTTTGCAGATTTTTTAATAAGGTTTTAATATAATTTTGCTAAATTTTATCTTATTCTATTTAGATGACTTATAAAACCTTTAATTTTTGTCTAATAACCTTAGTTATAAGTATATTCAGGTTTAAAACTAATAGCAATAGATTTATTATTATTAGCCACTTTATCAAATACCTAAAATTCAAAAAGAAAAGTATTTAATAAAAACAAAATTAATGATAATTTTCATCCTTCAAAATATAATTTAAAATAACTTCAACTTACTGCAATATCAATTTTATTGAATTTATATAGAACTTAATTTGTATGATTATCCATTTTAGAAATTATATTAAAGCTTATATTAAAGAGGATTTATACTAAGTATAGTTATATTACAAGTATAACTTCTTTAACATTAATATTAGGTTTACAAGACCAATAAAAAATGCAGTAATACTTAAACTAATATAGTAAATTAATCAAAAATATATATTTTTTCATTTTTCTAGGTCTAGAAAGTTACTGGCAATCAATATTGACGTGTATTTTTACCATCACCAAGAAATTTCTATAGTATATTCATTTTTATAACAATTTAGTTATCCTAAAGTAAGGGTATTATGTCAGATTATTTCTTCATCATAATTTTGATCATCTTGACAATGATAATTATTGTATTAAAAAATATTACTATTATTTTGATTTTGATCATGATAATTTTGATCTTTCGTATTATATAAATTATATGTCTTCTTATCTACTAATAGAGGTAATATAAGTTTCAATTTACTTTCTCTCTCAATATACATAGCATTTGTTAGTTCTTCTATTTTACCTATATATTATAAACTTTTAAATAGTAATTGATGCTGAGTATTTGATACATTATTTACTATTATCACTTGATAATGATTAGAAAGTAATAAATTTATTGAAGTAGCATTATTATAAGTATTTCTGAAAGGATTAATACAAGGTATCCCAACTGCAATAAATAACAATAAAATAATAAATTAATCAGATAATTTTTACAGTAAAATAAATATTAACTAAGATATAGTACTTCTACCTAATAATCCTGTAAAAATTTCCAGTATCTATCTCTATTAAATATCTTTAATTTAATTCTGATACCTTTTTAATTAACTAAATTGGTTGAACTAATTAAACTTGATGGGTTATTGTAATATTAATTTTAATAAAAACTTTTAATAATACTCAGTTTACTAAAATAATTTAACCAATAGTTATATGATTTAATATTTGTTAAAAAGATAAATTTTTTCTGATATAATTTTCCTCACTTCAAAAAATCATTTTTCTTTTAATAAATAAGATAATATATTTTTATTCTTTTACAAAGAAAAATGACTTAATTCGTGATTTGTTGATCATATGCAGATCACTATATATAGGCTACTACTTGATACCTGGGTTAATTAACTATACTTTTTTTATATATATCATAAATCTCAGCGTTCCCAATGTCAAAATGTCGCAACATACCAATAAAACTTATTTTAACTGGAGAACTTGTTTCTCACTTATATTATGGTGTAAACACGCGAAAATGGTAGGAAAAACAAACTATAGAAAATACTTTAGAAGTAAATTTTTTAGTTCCTATTTACATGGAAATGAAAACTCAGGTAAAACTCAATAATAGAGTCTTTACAATACAAGTAACTGAAGAGTTTGGAAGTCCTGGTTATGTTTGTCAAAGTGAACAACTCAGCAGTGATATTGAAAATTCACCATCCTAAGCAATATGTAAATTATATCAAAAAATATTCAAAAATTTTACGTGTTATTCTAGAAACTTAGTATTTAGCTTGAAAAATAAAGATATTACAGATCAGTTACGTATAAACATTCCTTTTCATCTATTTACAATTCAAATTGATAAATTTTCAATTATAATATATGGGCTGGGTGTATCTACAAATGAGAATTATTTAGGAGCAGGTCCAGGCTATATGTTCTCATTTATTCATAAGTATTCTCAAAAACGATGTGTGTTTGTTCAAAAAATAAGAGAAAATGATTATATTATTTAAATATGACATGAAAATATCAAATTATTCAAATATATAGGTAATACATCTGTAGAAGTTTGGAATAAAGCTAAAATATTGGGAAAATTCAGTGGATCAAGTTTATTTGGACTTGAGCATCCAACAACACAACGTTTATTATAGCAATTTCGAGTACCAACCTACAAGCCCGATCAATGAAATAATAAAAGCGTTATGATATCATTATATGATTACTATCTTAAAAGACGAACTATAAAGGTGGCAGATTAGCTACAATTTTTTATTAATTGGCCAAGTAAAGAAAATAATATCATTAAACTAACAACATCTTTGAAATCAATATACCCTAAAAAATATATTTTTAACGAATAGGAGTTACAAGCTTGGAATTCAATATTAAGAGCAGCTAGTTGTATAGATATCACACCTTTTGGTAATGATATATCTCCTGTGAGTTATAATTTATAACTTTATTTCATTCGTATAGATTTACTGAACTAATATTTTGAGTAACATATTCAATAAATAAGTACAAATTTTAAACAAAATCTGCAGATCCCGCAATTGATTAAGCATGTCTTAAAAAATTTTTATCAATCTAGATTTTTGAACCCACATCCATTAAATGTCAAACATCTAGCAAAGACATTTAGAATTGTTTTGCTGAAAGTTATGAAAAAAATAAAAATGATGCTGATGGAAAATGTTGTATTCTCTCTATTATTACGCAAGAGTTTACATATCATAATTTATAAAAAAAGCTTAGGGTAAATATAATTCATTTGCTTCTTATGCTAGTATATATGAAATTTTATTTTAAATGATGATGTTAATGATTGTCTTTTATAGATTTCGTCCTATTTAATAAATACAGCGAGAAAATTTGCTAGAATTAATGATCCAGGATGTACTCCTTTTCAAAAAGTTAAAGTTTCTCGTAATTCATGTCTAACTCAAGAAATACAAGATTAGTTTGAAATAATTTTCAGGATAAAGCTAATGTTACTATGAGTTCATATAAGGTAAATCCAAAAACTGGTCTTCTAATTTTTTATTTGCTTGATCAAAAACAAACTTTATGAGAACGATTTTTTGAAACCTATCCAAATGGAATAAAAAGAACAGCATTTATAGGACATCTTGAAAATAGACCATGTAAGTATAGAGAAGATCTAGGAGGGTTATATTCTATTTGTGCAGAATATGAATATAATGTTTTTGATGATTTAGTAAAAATAATTTCTTTCTATGTAGAAGATCACAAATATCGGGTATATATTTTTTTGTATTTTGTAGTTTAGATAATAAATAAAAAATTTCTTGTTGTAATTTTATTTGTATTTACTATTTTTATTATTTCAATAAATAACAGACAAATTTATTACATCAATTGGAATTAATAAGACGGCATATGAAAAGAGAATATATTTGTGAAATCTATGTTAAAAATAATGGGAAAATTGAGTATAAAGAATGCATTAATCACTGTTTACCATATGCATTTGGAATATGTGATAAGGTGCATACTCTTCAATGCAGTGAATGTTCAAAATTTTATATATTCTTTGATGAATTGCAAAATATTATACCTGTTGATCAAATTCAAAGTTTGGATGAAAAAAAGGAACGATTAATTTATTATTTAGCACACCAAACCTGAAAAGTTTATCTCAATGCTCAATTTCAAGTTAGTTTACTAGCATTAGACAATGATAGTGCAATCCTTATAGTAGATTATAAAATGCGTATTTTACCAAAGTCAGCACGTAAAACTAAAACAGAATTCTTTGGAAAATGTAGCTGAACATTACACATTGTACTAGTATATACTAAGTCAAATGATCATAGAAATCTTGATATAGTTGCATATAACCATTGGTCAGAAGATACCAAGCAAGATGCTTAGTTTACTGCATCTTCGTTTCATGTAGTATTTGATGCTATGCCAAATAAACCAAAATGGATTATCATTATTTCAGATAATGGGCCACATTATCATAATACCGAAATGATAATTATTTTATCTCATTGGAAAGATTGGTATGATATCAAGATTAAAAAGTAGATATTTTTAGAAGCTGGTAAAGCCAAGACGGCCATTGACTCTCATTACGCATAGGTTAGGATATAAAATATTTTATTTTGCATTTATTAAGAAATATGTAACTAAATCTATTTGAATACAGATAGCATACGCTATTAAACATTATGTAAGACTTGAATTTGATGTAACTAAAGGAGAGGATATAGAAAATGCAGTCAAAGATTTACGTGATACTTCTATAAACTAAATGGATCCTAATCGTAACAAAAATAAGGGTAATAAAAACATTTGTTAGGATATCAAAATTGAATGAATGGCAATGGCCAATAGATAGACCATTTGCAGGTTATGTTCAGGCATGATCTTTGCTAAATATAAGCAATTTTGTCAATTATTCTCTAATACAAATAACACAATCTTCTACAATTGCCACTGAAAAACCTAATCCACAAACTTCAACGCCTTCTATACCACAATCATCTTGGTCTGTTCCAATTATTTCTTCAGAAAGTAATTTTTTTTTCATGGAGTTTATCTCTTGGCAGGATAAATGTAGCATCTAAGAACTGATCTCATTCTTCTTTAGACTATTTTTTGAGGTAAGCATTTTCAGTCTTCTACAGTGAATTCAGCTGTAGGAGAATGTCTCTAAATCTTTATTATTCTTCACAATTTTTAGATTGATATCAAGTTTGTATACTTCCACTATTTTGAACGTAATTGTTATTTTTTTGAATTGTAAAAAGAAAACCTAAACGCATAAAAATGGATCAAATAAAAGAATCATTGATAGCCAAAGATATTGAATTTGATCCTAATAGTAATAAATCAATGTTAGTATTACTTTTAGAAAAATAATTGACGATTGAAATGATGGCAAGTAATATTATATTTTCTTTATACCAAATATTATATTACTTACAAATAAGTAATGTCATAATGATGGTCAAAATATGATTTAATATTTGCATTATACATTCATTATATCAAGACATTGAAACATCTACATTCAAAAAAATTATCAGTAATGAAAATATACAAGTGAATATTAACTTTACGTAAAGAAACAACTACCTTCTTCACAATTTTCATTATATTTATATTCAAATAAATAAATGAAACTTCAGAATAGCGTTGATAAAGATTTTCTACTTGAAGCTGGATGGGCGTTAAAAGAAATCCAAAAATTTAGAAAAAAGGGTAAAATACGAATAGCAAAGAATATAGTTAGTTTATTGCAAGCTTTTTTTCATGCAGATAATGCTAATAGAAGTGACCATTATTCTGCAAGTGACATGTTAAACAAGTTAAATAATATGGCAAATAAAGACGAATTGGAGTTTGAAACAATACCAAGTCTTGAAACTATTCAAAATTTGATCGTTAGATATTTTGCAGCATGAAAATGTAAAATAGCTGATATTGTTTTGCAGTGTGAAAAGCAAAGCCATTATGGTAATTCTAGCTTATAAGACTAATATTATAAGTATTATAACTGATAAGGCAATTTGTAAATAAATTTGTAAAACAAAATTCGTAAAAAAAAAGTATTAGGTAAATAAAATTGAAAAATAAACTTATATACAAGATAATAGTAATATATAAACCAGTTTATAGTAGCATGTAACTTGCTTGTAAAAATCAGAATTACTAGTAATCATATATAATAACTTGTCAGAATTTGGCTGTCCTCTAAGGTAAACTATCAAATAAAATAATTTAAAAGGTGACTTTTTTTAATTATTTATAAAGCGCTCGTGTTGTTTATCTATATTTATAATTTTTAGCCAGTTTTGGTTATTTTATAAAAGATTTTCTTTGTCACCTATTTTTGCTAATTGATGATAATTTGCATATTTGATAATAAAATTTATCCGGAAATTGGATAATGAATTTCTGCACATGATCAGTGAATTACGAATTAATTATAATAATTTTCTTAGTAAAATATTAGATTTATAATCATGGCCAGTCAGGGGACAGTCTTATTATTTATTATTTAATTTTTATAAATATCATTATTAATTTTGCTGATATATTTATTGTATGTGTAAAGATTATTATGTTTTCTTACATTGAAAGTAATTGTGATGTTATTTGTTTTAGATAAGAATATTCTTTAATTACATCTGAATCTACTATAAATGAACTTTTATCTAAATTTATTATTTCCTATTTTGAATATCTAGAGTCAAAAAAATGTAGTTTTAATTAATTTAAAATTAATAAAATAAATAAATAAAATTAGGATTAATAATTTTTAATTTTTAAATTTAATTTTTTTTATAATTTAATTTAAGTTTTAATTTTTTTTTAATCAAATTTTTAATTAAATTTTAAAATAACTTTTGATTTAAATTAAATTTCTTATTTTTTTTTGTTTTTTAAATTTTGACTTCAGACTTTTTTTATTTTTTTTGTTTAATTCCATTTTTAAACTTTTGTTTTTTAATTTCATTTTATTTAATCAGAAATAAAATAAATGTCAGAATAAAAGTATTACATCTTGTAATACTATATCACATAAAAAATATAGAGATAAATGCAATAAAAAACACTGCTTACTATAATGAAAAGTTATTAGAGAAAGTTGAGAAAAATTATGTAATCAAAAAATTTAAACGTTTAAAAAGAATTTTAAAATATAAGGTAATTCTAAGATAATTGTAATTAGTATGGTAAACTTTCTGAATCCTCTAGAACCAATTTCTTAAAGATTGCTAAAATCTTTGTATTCATAGTATTTAGAGTTCTGGATGAGTCAAATTAACTCACAAGTCAGATAAGCCGAATTGAGTTTAAATCGAATTGAGTTTATGTTTTTTTAACTCGATGATTTGTGAGTCAAGTCAAATTTAAATCGAGTTAAATATTTAACTCAACTCGATTTAAACTCGACTTGATTTGAGTTGACTCGAGTTGATTTGAGTTGACTTGAACAATATTTTTTTATCATTCAAGAAAAATGATGATAAATTATTCAAGAAGAACGATGACAAATCGTTCAATTTGAACGATATTTTTTATCATTCAAGAATAACGATGACGAATTGTTCAACTTAAATGATGATCTGAATTGTTCAACTTGAATGATGACCCAAATCATTTAACTTGAATG